TTGGTTCCCGCCGCTGGGATGGAAGACTCAGAAGTAGCTATATTTATTTTTATATTATCATTATATTTTTCCTTTGGGATAAAATCATTTGAAGTGAAATTTCAAGCTCTAAATTTTATGAAATTTCCATTTTGTCCTATATTTTCACATTTCCTTCAGATACTTTCTAAATTTATTGTTACACCAACAGCTTATACAAAATATTTTTCATCTACATCATTTCTCAATTATATTTCCTTTTATTCTTTAACATTCTGGTACATGAACTATATTATTATTTCAATTAATTAATTAATTAGGAAGAATGATGTGTGCTTATGAGCCATTTTCTTTCCTTTAGCAATTTTTGCCTTCTGCTGAGTATTTTTCCTGCTGAATTGCTGAATTTTAGCAGTTCTTTGTACATTAAAGAACTTCTATTTTCTGCTATAAGTAAAAAACTATGCCTTCCCATTTTTGTCTCTTACTTTACTGATATTTTTATCAAACAACAGTATACCACGGGTTTGAATTTGTCTTAATAATAAATACCCAGAGCCGATATCAGGGCAAATGCTGAAATATCAAAGAGAGAAAAGAACAAACCACAGCCAACTCTTACCTTCCTAAATCCTCAGCCAATAGGGGCCAAGTTCCTGTCTCCTCCCACCTTATATATTTCTCTCCTCCCAGCCATATCACTTCCTGTCTGTCTGTACAGACCTCCAAACCTCTATAATTTGCTGGTAGCTAGCTCCACCCTCTGATCTTCAGGCAAGCTTAATTTGTTAAAATATAAACAAGATATCACCATACAACAGTCAGTTTATATAGGGCTTTGTATACCATTTCGGATCTTGAAATCATTTACAATTTTTAAAAAGAAGAACCCAAATTGCCTACAAAAAGTCTGATAATACTCCTTAGAGTGCCAATAAATCCTGAAAAGTGAGAAGAATATACATTGGGGTGGGGGAAGGTGGAGTCACTTTGTGAAAGATTTAGGAACATCTAAACTATACACAATTTATTGAACATTTGAATTTTGACTAATTGTTTTCCTGGAGGCAGTTTTTAATAGGTCTGATAATGCATTTCCCACTGGGATTCCCGATGGAATAGCTATGTAAAACTGGTGGGACAGAAGTGGGAAGCATTCCCTTGTTAATCTGGAGCTTAATATACTGGTCCTAAACTTGCTTTCTTTCTCCACACTGTGAAATTGGCATCTATCAATAACATCATTCAGTATCCTGCAGTCATTTTTAAACTTGGAGGGGAGGAGCAAAATGAGGGAAGTTATAGCATCTTGAGAATAGGAACAGTTTGAAAAGGCCTAGTGGGAATTGTGCTGTGTGTCAATTCTCTGTCAAACAAATGTTTCAGAATCACTGGGATATTTTCAATATTTATGAGAATACACACTCACATACACGAGACAACAAATCAGTAATTAAATTCACATTCAGATAGTAAGTTTCTGTAGGTCTTGAATAAAATAACCCCTAGTCATGGATTAATAGGAATCAGCATCATTGCACTCTAGTTCTCTGTGATGCTGTGATTTTTAATACATTTCTGATAAATATAAGTCACCTCACTGGGAGAAAGTTAACTCATGGGGACTGTTAAGGGATAAAACATGTAACAAATCCCCAATCTATATAGAAGGGGATATTAGATGACTAAGTACTTCCATGCAAATGTGAATTCTGCACTGGCTGCTGTCATAAAGCTGATGGAAAATGAGACAAATAAGACAGGAAGTGCAGTATCCAGCAATGAAATGGAAAGAGGCATAACTCTAGGAGATGACTGAAGTACTTATTGAGATGAAGTACACTGTCAAGGAGACATTGATGCATCTGTAGTCACTTCTACAGCTTTGAGTTAGCTCAGCAAAATCATGGTTTTCTTCCAGGTCCCTCTAGCCTCCACCCTTGCTGGAACATCAGATTATCACTTTACCTGCTTGTATTATATTACACCTAGGTCTGTATCATAGCTCACTGACCCCCATCATAATTTAGTTACAGTAGAAATGTGATCACATTGTGGTGATTAACTAGAGATATTTAGGTTGAATCATCCATGTGAATATGTAAAAAGCAAATATTTGGAGGAGAATTTTTATGTTGTTATTATTATTGGTTTTTCTGAGACAAGATTCTATGTGAAACACTCTTGGCTATACTGAACTCACTCTGTAGACCAGGCTGTCCTTAAACTCACAGAGATCTGCCTGCCTCTGCCTCCCATGTGCTGGAATGAAAGGTGTGCACTACCACTACCCAGCAATAATTTTATATTTAATGGTGTCTTAAACCAGGAAGTTCACATATTTGAATGTTTTGACATGACAGATGTGGTCTTCATCCTTGTATTCTCTGCAGTCTGGTAAACCAAATGGACAATGAATATATACTTATAATTGTGTTAGATTTTAGGAGAGGGACAATACAGGTGATGAATCTTCATTTGAAGGGTATGTAGGCAAGAGAAAAAAAGGAAATATTTTGAATAGGATTGTTGCGGTCACTTTTCTTAAAAGATATCATGGAAGTATCTGGAGACTCTTCCTTAGTTTGCTTATGAGAATAACAGCTTGGGGATGTACTGACCAGCATACTGCACACAATATAGCGTTCTCTTCTCTGACTGAATTTTCTGACTGAGCACTTCCCCCATCTAGAGCTTAAGACATATAGCAGAGGAACAAGAAGAATATGCACAATACATGGTTCATAGTCTGTAACATGAAACTATATTTTAACATGGGAATTAATTATAGATTGTTTTGAAAGATTATCTAGTCATAGAAAAAGATATCAGAGATTAAACAAATAAATAAAAGATGGTTCAAACTAACTGCATTTGGTTATGAATCCTCCTTACAGTCCCTTTGGGAGGAACACTTTCTTCCCCTTTATGCTGTCACTTGTTGGTTTACTTGAGGTATTTAATTCACAAATACCACCGAAGATTTTATTTCTCATAGGCTCTACTCTGCCCATCCCTAAAGGTTCCATTGTACACTTTTGGCTCATTTATGTAACTGGCTGGCCAAGCTCACAGTCTCCTGAAATGAAAAGTGGCAGAAGCCCAGAGACTGGAGGTCATTTTGATGTCTGTTTTCCAGTAATCTTATGAAAAAGTGCCAGGTACCAGCATTTGAAAGCTTAATTCTTTTTCTCACCTTATAAACTCTGACCTCCGATTGTCTGCTCCACATAAACTGTCACATGGCAATGATGCTTCCTGCTACTAATTCAATGTATTCTCTTTTGTCATAAATGAATTCCTTACTGGAATATGCAGGGTTGGCCTGTATTTGCATTTAGTGCTGCCTTGCATATCTGGGGCTACAGTCTCCAACTCCGACAGTATTAATCACATGCTGTTATAAAGTGTATTCTTTTGTTGTGGACTTATTTGCGAGCTTACTAACTGGTGTCAAATGAGTTGTGTTGATTACAGATGGCTGTGGACTCACTCCTAGGTGGTGGAACTAATGCAGCGCCGTGTACTCTTTGCTTATGTATTTGGCATCATTTATTAGACTAGACTGGCAAAATCAGACAGTGAAAGTAGTAATTCCAATTGCTTCTACTAATTGGCTTCTTCAAAGTGAACCTTATTTCTGTTGTGTTTCAGCATCATAAGCCAGTGAGACAGGAATTATAATAAGAATTATCAGAATGGCAACCTAAAGTAGGTTGGCATTTCCTATGTTAGCAATTGCCAGAAGGTTAACATGAGCCAATATATGGAAGCCAATAAATCATGGCAAGGAGTAGTCTAGGATTATGCATGGTCACAAGTAAACTAAATGTCTGGAATCCAGTCATACAGGCATGACCCAGAGAATAAATGAGATCTTGGAGATCAAGGTAGGCACGTACCCAGAAACATGAAGATTAAGATCAAAATGCTGTAAAAGCACTGAGAAAAGCCCTATCCTAAGTCAGGATTCATTGCCTTCTGGGTTCATTGGTAGCTCATTTGAGTAGAGGTATCTCCTGACCAGTACACATGTAGCTAAAAATACATTCTCACCTGGCTAGTGCAGGGTTAGGAGAAATTGGAGCCAAAAATAATTCTCAGTCCCCTGAAAGTTGTTTTGAAGTGAGGATCTATAAAATGATCATGGCAATGGGTAATAACAGCAGCTAATGATTGTTGAGGATGGCTCAAAAATTAACATCCCTGGCTGCTTTTCCAGACAACCTGGGTTCAATCCTAGCATGCACATGTGACTAACAACCATCTGTCATTCCAGTACCCAAGGCACCATTGCCCTCTTCTGGTCTCCATGGGCACCAGAAAGACATGGTACAAGAAATACACGCAGGCAAAACACACATAAAATTCAATTAAAATGAGTAATTGTCAATGGTAGTGGTGAGTGAGATTCAGTCAAACACTCCCACCAGTAGTAGACCAAGGAGTTCCCTTTTTAGGGACTCCCACTCAGTTCAAGACCAAGCAAATCAATAAATATAGTACATGCTTCATATTTAAGCTTTGGCATTCAGAGAAAGGGAGAGCTGAAAAATCCCGTAAGTGTGCTCACAATGGCAATGAATGCACTCCTGTGGCTTTCGAAATTACTTTGCTCAAAGGATGTCATTTACCACAAGGTTTCAAGATTAAGTTAAAAGTTACATTCAGACATTAAGTAAAAAACAATGGGTTGATTTGCTTATTTCTTCTTAAATGATTTCCTTTTGCCAATTAAATTGTCTGGTGGTTTTATGAGGTACTTTGTTTTGATTTAGGGATGAGAGCTAGTTAAACTCAAGGTCACAAGTGTTCTGGCCCCAAGCAAGTATAGTTTGTTGTTTCTGATGTCTTTACAAAAGCAAGCATCTCTTTAGGCATTTACCCATTGTGTTGACATTTCTGACTCCCAGGTAGGTTGTAAATTGAGGGACATTTTGCCCATTTGTCTTCTTAGTTACTGTGGTTGTTCTACTCTGCCTCATCTTGACAAACTCCACCCCATTTCATACTTCCAACAGCCCTCTGTGGAGATCCAGTTTTGTTCATGGGAATAAGTCTCAGAAAGCTTCAGCAATTTCTCTGAAGATGAAGCAGAAAGAATGCTGTACAAACAAGATCCTGAATGCCTACACAGCATCTCTTGGTTTAGAAGGAGATAGCCTTCTCTCAGGTCTGTAACCTATCTACTCAGGAGAAATCTGGCTCTGTATAAACAGAAAGGAACATGGTAAAATGACCAGCAGAGTGAATGCTTCTAGAGAAAGCTTTTAGTGGATGGTTGTTTTAATCCACTGTCATTTTTCTGGAGCTCTACTTTCTTCCTACATATCAGATATCGACAGTTTTCTTTCCTACAGGTTTTCATGAAGAAGAAAATAGATAAGAACAGGAATGTTTAACTTGTATAGATTATTCCCAAAACTGTGGTCCACTTTCTTTCTGTGATTAATTCATCCCTTTTTCTGGGTCATTATTTTTTTTAACTCCATACCTAGATAATTGTAGGAATGATTAAAAACAATGGTCTAGTGGAGTTGCCTTCTGAATGTTCTGTTATTTGGTTATTCCAGGGGAGAAGCTTTGTTGTCCATGCTCCACAGAAGTCCTCCTTGACAAGTTGCTGACTTTCAGAGAGCCTGATGGTTCTGCCACATTCCTTTGGTTTCCAGTAGTGCTTAACACCAAGACACATACTTTTTAAAGCAATAACTACTATGTGAGCTCAAGCGTCAGTTACATATCGCTCACTTGGTGCCTGAGTCTATGAAGATTTACAATGTTGGTATCTTTGCCTTTTATGAAAATAAACTGGATAATACATATGTGCTTCACAGCAGCTTTTGATTAAGAGTGTATCCCCCATGGAGGGTCTCACTCTCCCTGGGGAGGGGACAGGGTAGGTGTGGGGGGTTGAGGTGAGGCGGAGGAGGAGGGGAAGGAGAGGGAGCTGGGCTTGATATGTGAAGCAAGCTTGTTTCTAATTTAAATAAAAGAAAAAAAGAATCTCCATACAGGCTCCAGTACCTCAATTCTTTCAGGTCCATTAGTCTTCTGAGCATCTATCAAGTTTTAGTAAGCCTCACTTTTCTGCTTCCATCATTTCGGGTAGTACATCACTTACATTCAGACTCCTTATTATTTCCAATTATAAAACAGGGATAATCATCCTTGTGCTACCCTTAACCACATGAGGAAGAAGAGGATGAATGTTTTCTGCTGTAGAGTTCTTTGAGGGAGTGACACTCTATTAATTCAAAACAGTAACAGAGAAAGGGTGGCTAGTAAATTTAGAGTTTGATCACCACAGTTGAAGTTTATACAAGGTAATTTTTACTGTTTGTGCAGTTTTCAGAGACTGGGATAGATCTTTCCAAAGCCATTAAAAAGGTGTTCAGGCATATGCTCATATTAATTTAAGTAAAATATGGTATCCTCCTGCAAGTAGGGCAATTATGATAATTTATTGTTGGTTCATATTCCTGTACTAACTAATCCTGAGGGAGACATTATCTCTATGGCTAAAACAAACCATCTTAACTTTAAGAAGGTGGCATAGGGAAAGCAGTCTTGAGACTCTTATAGTTCTGTTTTCTTTCTCTCTTGAAAATTCTCCTTAACAGTGGGATGCAATTGGTGCTCATTCATTTTGTTTTATTATTTTAAGAAAGAGAACAATGCTACTGACTAGACCACATGTTTAAATAATCCTAACACTGGAGAGTGAAATGTAGTCTAAAGGGACTCCATATTCTCAGACAGTCTTTCTTCTGTCTGTGTCAAACTGACAAGCAAGGCTTAAAGGATTCTGCAGCAATGGTGAGGCTCTTCCTGATTCCTGTGAGACTACTTCAAGAACAGCCCATCCTTCCTCTGCTATCTCATGAGGTAGAGTGTGCATATTGGTGGAGTGGGCTGAGAATTGGGAGTGTTTTGGAAGCAGTGGGGAGACAACTGTGTGGTTCTTCTGTTAGTGAGTCTGAGCAACAGCATATTACCCTGCTGTCACTCTCGAACAATATACTTGTGTGGGCTCTTAGAATCTGGCAAAATCTTGACAACCCATGCTGAATGTGCAGGCAATCATTGCAGCTAAACTCTTTCACATTTCCCCTATTGACTTTCCCTTGAACTTTATGTGCCTTCTTCCATTCAATTTTACTTTATGGATTTAATTTCTTGTTCTTCTCATTTTAGAGGTTTTTTATTGAAATCAATGTCCCTTCAAAATGATGAAAAGAAGAGATGAATTTTAACTGTTTAAGTAAATACCCAATCACTGATACATCAGACAACATCCCATCATCCACTCAGAAACCTCTGAAAGGAAAGATTATGTCTGTTGCACATGATGGTTGACTTGATTAAAAAATTTAGTGTTTTTTATTCAAATGCAGTACCATCATCAAATACTAGCATGAATATTTACATAGTCATCAAGGTAAAAAGAAGCTTTTCATAATTTTATGTTGGATTTTGTGTTGGTCCTTTGATAGCTGAAACTGAGCTTTTAACTGTTGTGCTTTCTCCATCTTGTTCACACAACAAGGGAGATGAGTTATATAAGTTACACGTACCATATGTCCTCCAGCGTTTGTCATCCCTGAAGCTTGGCTGAATATGCAGTTCATTCCTTAGCCTCTGAGTTGGCATTAGTATGATTTTTAAAGGTACTTATTGTGGCATAATATAAAGATGAAGTTGCTGAAGCCAAAATATGTGTATAGTAGATATTACAGAATCACCATGTTTACAGTTAGTAAATGGTAAAACTGAAACACAAATCTAGGCTTGTCTAACTAGATTATCTGTGCTTCTAAACCCCAGCTAGCTAGATTATTAGAGGCACCATCCTTACCCTATCATGATTACAATTGCAGTGCGACAGGCACTTCAGTTACACATGCTGTCACACTAACTACATCACAGCTGAAGAAACAGAGACTTAAAGAAATCTCTCTGTGATTGTAATTTCCCTGAACTTCATTTCCCTGAACTTAAATCACCCATTCTTTCCCCAAGGCCTTTAAGAACATTTTAGCTGTTCAGGAAAGGGTGTAGGGGATGACAGTATTGTGTTCCTCCCAGCAGGCTAGGTCTGGAAGCTCCCACCACCATCCTTTCCCCAGTTCCTTTTTGCTTTCTGATATTCAATTACTTCCTATTTCTCACTGTGCTATTGTTTGTGCTAGTCTCCACCCAAAGTTTCCCAAGACCCTTCTTCCATCATCATCCTGTCTTTTGTGTACTGTTCATCTTTCCTATGAGCATTTAGGTAGGTTCATGTATCACTCCTCTGAAAAACGATTGGTACACTTCTCCCCTGGGGCCTCTATGCACTTTATATTAGTGCTTTCTTTTCAACTACAGTGAAAAAAATTTTTTTCTTTGGTTTTACGAGACAGGGTTTCTCTGTATTGTTTTGGAGGCTATCGGACCAGCCCAGCCTTGAGCTAACAGAGATCCACCTGCCTCTGCCTCCCGAGTGCTGGGATTAAAGGCGTGAGCCACCATCGCCCGGCAAAAAAAATTTTTGAGTAAGCTAGGCTTCTCCATCACCTGTGGCTCCTTACCTCCCAGTCACTATTCATCCCACTGTGATCGTACTTCTGCCCTGTCTCTCTGCCTAAGCTTCCTATTCATTTTTAATTAATTTTTATTTTTTACTTAATTTAAAAACAATCTTATTTTACATACCAATCCCAGTTCCCTCTCCCTTCCATTCTCCCATTCTCCCCCACCAACCCCCATTCCATCCCCCATCCACTCCTCAGGGAGGATGAGGCCTCCCATGGAGATCATCAAAGTCTGACACATGATTTGGGGCAGGGTCTAGGCCCTCCCCAGTGCATCTAGGCTGAGAGAGTATCTCTCCATAGGGAGTGGGATCCCAAAACCCATTCAGGCACTAGGAATAAATACTGGTTCTGCTGCCAGAGGCCGCATAGACTGCCCCCCTCCCCCACAACTGACTCCCATGTTCAGGGGGCCTGGTTTCGTCTTATGCTGGTTCCCCTGCTGTCAGACTGGAGTATGTGAGCTCCTACTTGCTCAGTTCAGCTGTTTCTGTGCGTTTCCCCAGCATGGTCTTGACCCCTTTGCTCATCACTACTCTCTCTCTACAACTGGATTCCAGGAGTTTGTCTCAGTGCTTAGCTGTGAATCTCTGCTTCTGCTAGGTTTCTTATTCTTGCTGCAACAAATCACCATACAAGATAATGACTTTAAGCATCATTTCTTTATTATCTTATAGTTCCATGGTTCTAATGTTATCTCACTAGGATAAATCTAAGATAGGGGCAGGACTGTTTTCCTTTCTGGAAGCTATAAGGGAAAAAAATCAGTTCCTTGCCTTTGTAACTTCAAGACTTCCTGTATTCCTTGATTCATAGTCACCCCTTCCTCTGTCTCCTCAGTCAATGACATTGTTTGTGTATTTGTTTTATATGTTTTGCCATATATTCCAAGAAAAATATACCATAAACTGTACATATTTATCTTATTCCTTTCAATTGTTGGTTCATAGTATAGCTCTATTATAGGTTTATATATACATTCCAGCAAGGAAAAACTTTTAGGTTGTCTCCTGGGTTTTTTTTATGAACTTTGCAATTATTCTTGTACAAATGTCATTCTGTGAGCATGGGGAAATACGTGTCTATAGTAGATATCAGTAGAGAGCGTTCTAACAGCACTGAAAATTGGCCCCCATAATAAGTATTATCCATTTCCTTGTTTGTCTTTTTCATTACTTTGTCATTTTCTCAGTGGAAAGGGCCATGATTTTATAGTTTTATACATTGACAGAGTCTAGTATGTAATAAATATATCTTGGGGTTTGTATGTATCCATAGACTTAGGCAGTGGCTGGCACATAATATATGCTTAATGATTTTTAAATGAATGTGCCTAACTGCCTTCATTTAACAAATAATTTCTTCTTAACCATTCAAAAGGCTACCTTGCATGTCTTTCTTTGATACCCTTAATTTGCGTATCCTAGCAGTCATTTTAAACAAAACTTTTCTGAGCTTTGAGCTAAGGGTAGTGTTTCTCTCCATCTCTTTCTTGAGACACAAGTGAAGTCACCAAAATACATTCACAAAACCAAAATGGCAGGTTAACAATAATGTATCTACCATCTATGGTTTCTTTTGCCTAACTCAACTCTATTACCCCTATCAAATATCTTGGATGTTAAATAATAATAATCACTCCCTTGTCTGAGGATAAATGCAAATATTGATTCTACAAAGTAAGAGGGATTAAATCAGCTTAGCAAGCTTTCACATGCCACTTCCAAGCTGAAAGAACAAAAACCTACTAAATTCTTATTTCTTGGTTGTATATATTTCAACACACTGTGTATGTGAATGTGTGGAGGAAGTGTTCTGTTTATAATGCATACTTAGATTCCTTGAAAAGAAAGTAACATTTTGAAGCTCAGTGGCAGAGGCAAGAGATTGTAGCTCACACTTCCAAATCTTTGGAGGTTAACACTCTACCTACTCTGAGGCAGTTCGTCTGTTGGTGTCAGAAAATGGCTATTGGCTTCCCAGAAGCAGTAGGACAATCATGAGAATCCAAGAATCTTGAATTTTGGCTGGACGTATAGGAGAGCAGGTGGTTAGGCGTAATTAAGGTCTGATTCCTTGTGGCCTCACACCAACATAATTAGGTGTCGTCAGCCACTAATGAATCTCACACCCGTGTCGAGCCATTGAAATCATTCAAGAAAGCTTTGGCCAAAAAGATGTGTCTTACATCATGCTCAGTGACAATCTGCTGGACTCTCTCTCTCTCCCATTTTCTGTCCCCAGAATGTGCCATTCCTCACAAGCAAGGGCATGTTTAATCACCTACAATTTCACCCTACGTCTTCTATTTAACTTC